GTTATTTATTAAATGTCTCAACATGCCTATTATTATTTTCTTTTAATTACAACAAAGGACACTATTGGCATCTTTTATTTATAGCAGAAAAATATTTTTACAACTTTTCTAGAAAATAAAACTCACTTGACGGAACTTAACTGGTCACCAAAATAAGGAGTTCTGATATTCTGGCACTGAGAATCCAGCATGGTTATTTCTACTTAATGGGACTAGTAGTTAAAAGCCAGGTGCATATAACCCCATTTTGGTTTAAAATATATATCAATATAAACATGCATGTAATTGTGCACGTGCACATGTGTAGAGAAGGTTCCACTTACAATCTTGTCACTTTCTAAATCTTGTAAGAGACACTGTTGGTGCCTTACCCACATCCCCATGGGCCACCCCAGAAGTCACCTACAGTTTCCTCAAAGCTTCTGTCCTCACATTGGACCACTCTTTGTCCAGGAGAAGCCTACGCTCTCCCCGCCTCCCTGGACTCAGCAACTTCATTTCCTGTTCATTCTTGACTCAATGTCTGCCCACATGCACATTACTTAAAATAGTCTCCTCACCCTCTGCGTGAACCTTTTCTTCTTCACAATCTATGGGAACTCCTCAAAGATTAACCTCCCTAATTGTTCACCCTTCCACTTATCATCAAACTCTCACCCCCACTAGTGCAATAGTTTTCTTAATAAGTGTTGTTTTTGGTGTTATCTCCTACAACCCATTCTCCACACAGCAGCCAATGTAATCTTTCAAAAACGTAAATCCAATCAGTTAGTCTCACTTAAAATCCTCCAGTGGCTTCCTCTTGCACTTAAAGTCCAAACACCTAACTTCAGTCTATGATACCCAACAGTACCTGCCATCTGCCTGCCTGCCTCCTTGATTTTTTCTCAGACTGTCCTCTCCCTCACCCATTCCACCTGAGCCATTCTGTTGTTTTCTGTTGCTCAAATGCACCACCCACCAAAAGGCTTTTGCACTTACTCCAAAGTTTTGCATAGTTGGCTCCCTCTCATTATTTCAAATCTCAGCTCAAGTATCACCTCTTCAAAAAGACCTTCCTTGGACAGTTTAAAGCAGCCTTCTCAATCACAGTTGCTTATTTAATTTTTTCATTGCACTTATTATTTTCTAAAGTTGTCTCACCCTGAAAAACTTCTTTATTGCGTGTCACACTACTAGAATCTAAGTTCCATGATAGCAGAGATCTCTTCCATCTTATTCACAAGAAAGTCCCTGTGCCTGGAACTTAGTAGGTCCTACATACCCAAGTAATAAATATTTAACAGATAGTCATTACAACATGGTATCACATGCAGGCCACTAAATGCTTCCACAAAATATTCCTCTATGCTTGTTAACATTAAAAACATTTTTCCATGAAAAAATTATGTGGATTTATTCCTCCTTAACAAATTGGGCCTAATGGGAATAAAAAACATATTTGAAGGGACATTGTCAATATTACTCCACCAAAAAAAGGTGCTGGTATACCGGCAACACAATGAAAATAGTAATGATTGTCATAGCGAACAGGGACAGTGAATTCTTATTTACACTAACTTTTCAGCCTTCAAATGGATCTTACCAATTAATACACTATACTAAATTTAAAATTAACATCTTTTTCATCCATAAGTAATTGTAATTAAAATTGGAGTTTAAAACTTTTTTATCTCAAATTGGTCTTTGAACACTGATCTCTAAAATTTCTATTTTCCTTCTTTACTTATGCCATAATAAATGCTTTTACTTCTTTGAAACTACGTGGTCTCTCATATTTTATTGGAGTGCCACCTCAAAATAAATAACCAGAATTTTAACATTTAAAGATTTTTTTCTAATCAGGAAGTAGGGATAAACAGAACTTCTCTGCTTTTTCCTTCCTTACCCTCTCTTACAGAAAAGCTCCTCTGTGGTCTTGATGTTCAAAGTAAAACCCTTTCTGAACCCAGTAGATAAGAAACTTTTAGTGCCAGTTTCTAACTGTTCCGAGGGAAGGCCATTAGAGAAAGTAAATAACAATGGAAACTGAATAGGTGCTAACAGAACTTTTGTTGTTTTTTAGACTTTCTTTTAAATTTTATTTCACCATAGCTATTTTATGGGGTTCAATTACAGTAAGTAACAGATATGATACAATGAGGAGAACTACACATTTCACTTAACTTCATAAAAATCCTTTTGGGCTTTATATTTTCTTGAAAGTAGGATGAGGTAAAATATTTAATAAATTTTACTTTCATGGCAGTATCCCCTCCCCAACATACACGCGCGCACACACACACATACATACACACATTATGTGTAAGTTAAAGGGCTACCCAGAAACCTAAAATCCTTGTATTGTTTTTCTTTCCTGTGAAGAAAAATTGTTTGGTGATATGATACTTGCAATATAAGTCATTACAGGTCTGATGTTACAGTTGTTACACAGTATACAGTATTGAATCTATTGAATGAAAAGGGAGCACAAAGGGAATTTCCAAATGCAGCTGCTATTTCCCATTTGTTAAATCCTTTTACTGTACCATATAAGTACACAGCTGGGAAATACTATAGAGTGGGAGTTAAAGCAAAATATTTTGACTTCCAGACATTCAGAATATACAATGGGTCCAGTGGAAAGCAATGCTTGACTTCAAAAGAGAGTGAAAGTTTGAAAACACTTTCAACAAGAATGATTTCTTTTAGACTAATATATAACATATTTGTGAATTTGAACTATTTTATATTACCATGAATTCCACTTAATGTGAATTTGGTAAGCACATTATTAATATATCTATTTTCTGACAAAATTTTAGATTATAAAATTTTGAGAATAACTCATAGAAGCAATTTGACATTTGCCAAGAGACACACAAAATTATACTGAAAAAAATAAGCAAAGTGTTCTTTAAAAAAGTAAAATTTGAACTCTATCATTTCTGCCTCAATGGAAATTTTCCAGTTTGCTATTATCTGCCCATAGCTATACTTGGCATGAAAGCAACAGTCCCCTTCTCTGTACCCGATACCCCTTCTCTCTATCCGATTGGCCTCCACCCTAATCCAAGCTACTACCACCTCTCACCTGAATTTCTAAAACAGCCTCCCAACAGATCTATCTTCCTCCTTTTACTCAGTCTCCCTCACATCCACCCATACTACAACCAGAATCATCTGTTTGGAATATTCTTAAACGCTTTAATGCCTTTCCATTGTACTTAAAATCAGATCTTACTTCTGTAATGTTATCCATAAGGTCTTGTTGGATGTAGCCCTTACCAATCTCTCCAACCACAACTGATGCTACATTGCATCATCTCTCATTACACTCCAGCCACCAAGACTATCTTAAATTTCCTGAAACTCAGCTATGTTTTTTCACCTCAAATATTTCATATATGCTATCCCCTTTGATATTTTTACTCCTTCTTCCACTCTTTGCCTGGCTCATTCCTATCATCCTTAGGTCAGCGAGGGCATTCCTACCTATCCATTCTAAATTAGGTTGATGCTATATTTTCACATAGCACTCTGTTCTTTTTCTTCCTATTACATATCACAATTTTAATTATAGATCTGTGTATATATGCATGTATATGTTTGTTTGTTTATGTTCCTCCTCCTAGATATAAACTCCATGAAGGCATAATCATGCATGTTTCATTCACCAGCACCTAGCAGAATGCTGAGCCCAGAGAAGGTGCTACATAAGTATTTATTGAAATAAAAATAACACATAGTCCTAATATCTTGCCAAAAAGCCAGTGGCAGTGACTGGATATCTATTTCACCCATGCTATCTTGGAGGTATAAAATGAACCACTCAAGTTCAATCAGAAACACAGACTTTTAGTCTTGCTTTGTTATATACCTTCTCTCTTTGCCCTATTTAAGGAAAATAAACCTTTCAGCGAATCTATCTAATTTTATAACGATGATACCCTTTGAATCTAAAGTTAGTCTAGAAAAGCCTCATTTTTTTCTTCCAATTTCCTAAATATCACCTACTACCCCAGATGGCTAGTTATGTCTGCAAAATCATCTAAAAAAGAAGTGTTTGCATCCATAAATTATGAAATCAAGTCTTTGAATTTGATTTGAGACTTAAGCATAGAGCAAGAATTTAATAATATGTTATTAGTAGTAAAGGCATTTTTAAATATTATCTTACTTTTAATTAAGGAATAAAATTTTTGTTAATTGCCCACTTGAAATATTTTTCATTAATTAACTTAAGCAGAAGTTAAGTAATGTAAAACAGAGTTTAAAAATTTTAACAAATAATATATGTTAAGGTTTTGGTCAGTTCTAGATGCTAAAAAATTAATCTTTTTGCTTTAAGTTATATAATGAATTCTACTTACTGTGGTTTCTGTTTTAATGGTTAAAGACAGAATTTAACATGAGAAAGCTGGCTAACACACTGCATGTATTTGATGTTGTTGCTACTACTTTTAGAGAAAAGTCCTGCAGTCTGATGGAATGATACTCAGAAGTTTGGTATGTGCTTTTGAAATTACTATATAGGAACATAAGTGAGAAAATTTTTTTTATAAATCAAGAAAGTCTGTCAAAAATGAAAAATACCTGCGTTTCCTCACAGAAGATGTATCCTCCATATGATCTCATTCATGTAGACATGTTTGCTAAATATAGTCTTTCAATATGATTACACAGCCACACATAATTTGATCCTACCTATTTTTGGTATTTATCAACTTCATTACCTTAAATTCAGAGATTCAGAGAATATGAAAACCAGATCTCCCCCAAAATTAAATTAAATATCTTTTGGCAAGGTGACCTAATAATGGACAAAAACTAAATCACAAACCATTTTCCAATTTTTCCCAGTTACAATAATATTAATAATATATATAGTGGTTGTTTTATGATATGAGCATAATGAACTCTCATGATATGTATTTTGAGCTTTCTCTAAAACATCTATTTGTAATGAGGTCATACTAACCAACACACTTAGTGACAGTGGTTAGATTTTAAAAGCTCACCATTCTTTGCTGAGACGACAGAACACTGTCCCAGTCAGCATCTTGTTGAATGGTATTGACAAGTGTTGGTAGCTCCTCAGAGTGAGGTTTGTTGTGCATTATGGGGTGCAGAGGCAGATGGGAGGCCACATGTTGATCACTGCTCTCTTCCTTTTCCCTTGAGGTCAAATCTTGGGTCATCGCTTCCTCTCCATCAGCTGAACAGGCAAATGGAGAGGTGGCTTGCTTGGAAGACATTCTTCTGCAGAAGAAAGCAACAGCATAAATTAAAAAGGACTGTTGATGACCAAAAAAAAACCAAAAACAAAAAAACACCCATACATTTGACTAATTCAAGAAAAAAGAAAAGTTCTCTAACTTCAGAGATGTTTACCACCTACTCTAAACCACTGGAAAAGAACCCTTAGCTTATCTATTCCACTTCCTCTTTTTCATTTTAACTTGAAAACTCTTCCCGGTAATTGCTGCATATTTTTCTCTCTTACCAATCTAGAAATGAAGTTTTTGGGGATAAGTTTTCATTATGTATAGTGTATGTATGTGTGTATTTCCCCCCAGTTCTCCCAACTAGATTATAAGCTTTCTGAGAGTAATTTGGTTGATTTGTCTAGCAACAGAAAAAAAAAAAGAATGAACTGGGAAATGAGCCAGTCTGGAAGATGATTTATAAGTACATATATCCAAATTTCACTTATGCTTTACATCAGAACAAAAGAAGTCTGTGTAAGATAATATAATCAAAAGAGTAAGTAACCTATGATGAAAGTCCTAGGGAAATTTGGTCCTAACTTCTTAGTTTACACCTTGTATTGAGTGCTAGGCCTAACATTGTTTAGTGTCAATGTGATCCTTTCTAAAGACCTTCAAGCTGTGTCAATTGCTGTAATTTAACTTTTAGGTGACACATTGATTGAGTGGCTGATACTGTTAGATTAGTCTTAAGGCAGTTCTATAACATTTGTATTGAGCATGTGAAACAACTATACCTTTTTTATATTAGAAAATATAAACAAGATTCAAAGCATTTAGTATAAAAATAGCAAAATGCTTACAATACATAATATTTTCAAAGCTCCAGAAACAATTACTGAACATCCATCTATGTATCTACAAATAAACATTGATTACATTCAGCATAAGGTCTCCAGTCTATGCTTTCATATAAATCAGAAAATCATTATTATTAAACAGAACTTCAAACCTTTTATAATATTAGTTTATCAAGATGATTTTCTTAGCAAAATGTTTAGGAAAAAACCACCAAAAGTTTGTATATTAAAATAAGGGGCAATTGAGCATCTTTTCTAAAACTTTATGTCATTTTTGGTTTATAGCGTATTTAGCTCTAAAATTGCTGTGTAACGAAAGGAATAAAATCTCCACCTTAATTGCTCTTTAACATGAATTGATTTCATACCATTTTTTTAAAAATGCACAAATCAGTTAACATAGGAAACCACATGAGCATTTTTCAAATTAGCAAATCATTAACTTGCTAGTACTGTTTCTACAGACAAATAAATACTGATTAAAGGGTCTAGAAATCTGAGATTAACAGTTAAATTTACAAATCTGTCACATGCTTTCATGAATATTGCAGTGAAGGAAATATCAAGTGCAAAGAAAAATAATTAAGTTAATTCCAATTTAAACAGTAGTTTTTATGTAGCAGCCCATGTTTCACATAGGATTTAACAGCTAATGCTAAATTTCTCACAATTAATGAGGGGGTTCAGATTTAGTGTCCTACAGTGAAAAAAATTAAGATAAGATCAGCTAATCTAATTATACACAGTTCTAAATAAAAGCATCATAGGTTTTTGAAGTGCTTTGAAACATTAAAATGCTGATACCTACTTATAATAATCATTCTACAAATATGAAAGTTTCATCTATTAGACTTGATACTAAAAAATAAAATGGGGAAGAAAGTACAGAAGAATGTCTATTTTCTTTGAGAAGAAATAAAATGTTCTAAAGAGTACTATATCAAAGAATGAGGTAAGGATATTCTTAACCAATTTGTATAAATACTAACAAATGGACAAATGTATACACACTTAAGGAAAATGATGCCAAAAGATATTTCTTAGTCCACAGGAATCACTCTGGGTGTCCCACCTGTGGCCTGCAGGCCATATGCAGCTCAGGATGGCTATGAATGTATCCAAACACAAAATAATAAATTTACTTAAAACATTATGAGATTTTTTTATGATTATGTGTCATAATGTATTTATTGTAAGGTCCAAGAAAACTCTTCTTCCACTGTGGCCCAGAGATGCCAAAAGGTTGGACACCCTTACTAGAGTTTATTTCACTGGCCTCATAAATACTACAGTAAAACCAGGCAAATTATAACAGTCACATGCGTTTATCAAGAGCTTGCCATAGACAACAAGAATGTTTTCATAGTTCAGATAATGACAGTATCAATAATGTAATCATTCACATTAAGAACAAAAGAATGAATTTACTGCTGATTTTAAAACTGTTCAATACAATTGAAAGTCATAATCCAAAACTCATAGGGACTTAGCTCCCCAACAAACATCCTCTTAATATAAAGTGACTTGGCTCCTTCTAAAAGCAATGTCTGTGATTGTTGCTTTAGTATAAATTAATCATGACACAAAATGCAAAAGTCTCTTAAGAATAATTTCAACTGCAAACTGCACCAATGAACAATACTGCACAATCCTAATTAAACACAACCATGCAGCTGTAAAAATAGACTAAATCTGTCCAAAGCCATGAGTTGAGTTTAAAGGCTGGTTTGTTAGAGTGTTTTCTTAAGGAAGGCTGGGCCCTCAGTCTTAATCAGCCAATAAATTATTTCCTGCAATTACATTAAATAGAAAATTATCTTCAAATGGGGAGTGTTAATTGAAAATCAAAATTCAGAGGGAAGTTTAGAAATTACACGCTGAACACAATTAGTGAGGAAAGGCTTCACCTCTACTTCATCAACAGTCTTCTGGTGATTCCTCCAGTGACCATTCAGGAAAGCTACCTATTTTATAACATCACACAATTTGTCTTATTGTGTACCTAACAAATACAAATGTGCATCAAGGTTGAAAATTAAAAATAGACTGCAAAAAAAAAATATTAAATCTGACTGTTCAGCCTCAGTTCACACCATCGTTAAGGGACAAGAAGAGGTGGAAGGTAGGACAATAATGCTCACTCAACTTTGTGGCATACTCAACTTTGGAATCTCTGCCTTTAGCAAAGGAATTAACATTTTTTTATTCCAAGAAGAATAATTTTCCATACTATATTTTACTTAAGTTTCTTGTGTTTACTATAGTTCTCGAATATGTTGTTAGCAAAGAAAAAGATGATTTTGTTTTTGTGACTAGTATTGCTCCACTCTGGGCACTGTCTTTTGATAAAATTGCTGGGCTTGTTTCAGGTTTGTTTTTTGTTTTTATTTTTTTATTTTTTTATTGATTTTTAGAGAGAGGGGAAGGGAGGGTGAGAGAAAGGGAGAGAAATGTCAATCACTTGCCTCGTACCAGAGGCCAAACCCCCAACCTAGGCATGTGTTCTGACTGGGAATTAAACCCACAACCCTTTGGTTTATGGGATGACGCTCCAACTAACTGAGCCACATTGACCAGGGCTCAGGGTTTTTTTAATTTGATTTTGTTTTAGTTTTTGTTTGGGGTGGTGATTTCAACGTATTTTTAAAAGGAAAGTGTGTACAAATGCATGTTAAAGCACAGTTTATTAAATAAGTCAGATTCACTGATTATTAGATTCGATTTACTGATTATTTTTTGCACAATTACTTTATTAAAGAGTCCTTCAATTTACTGATTACGTCCTCATTCATTTCATTTCTTTAGTTTAACTTTCCCTTTTAAAACATTTTACTAGATCAACTAAACAGTGTTCTAGAAGCTGCAAAGCCTCTTGGTAATGCTTTTAATATAACCACTGCACCATGGCTACTTTCTTCAGAAATTTAAAAATCAAATATACACCTGTTTTAATGCTTTATAATGTCACATCAGATGCTTACTTTTATTTTTAATGCTCATATCAGTAATTTTCCATTACAAAAACTTTCACCCCCAGTATATTAGAATAGTATCTTACTTTAGCTGCTGCCATACATAACTAATAAGCAAAAGAATAAGAATCCTTGTGAAAATGGTCAATTTCCATGTGACTTTATTTTGTTTTATTTTTGCACTATAACTTAAAAATCATTCACATGAATTGTTTTTTTAATTTGTATTAAAAAAAAATCTCCCTAGTTATACCCCCTGAAAACAGGGGGTTATAATGGAAGTGCTGACACAACCCTAACTAAAGCAGCGCAAATGTTGCTGCTATAATACACAAAATCAAGTTCTATTATTCTAAACGATCCTCGCTCATGGGATTTTTCTTTACTGTGCTCCAAGCCAAACTGCTGAAGCATGAAAAATTTAAATGCAATCAAATGCGCCCAATTCTACTTTACTAGAACAAGTGTCTACAGTGGTACAATCTTAAAAGGAGATGCAACAGATTTGTTTGGTGTTTTTTTTTAACTGTTTATTTATAATACAGTGCATTGGAGATAAAATAAAAGAGGAAATTACACTCACATGGTACCAGTGTATTGACTACACAGAGTACATTATAATCAGAGAGAAAAACTACATTGTCAACTTATCACATTGGTTAAACAAGATGGTTTTCTGGGGCATAGCTATTATCAAGTAAAACCTCCAAAGAGAATTACATATCTTTGGGACACATAAAGCTAAATTCCCATCATGTGTTCTCCAAGTTTGAAATGTATCTGCCCAGCAGATCAAGTGAATTCCCAGGATGCCAGACCATTGGAAAGAACTTCAGGGCTTAGGACTTTTGGGAATAAGACTGTCAGAGATAAAGTCTTCTGTAATGGATAATGTTTTCTAGGAAGTCCGTAGCAGTACCTCTAGAAAGATGATAATTATTTTATTCCAAAACCCCACTATAAAATCTGAATGTTTAGACCATTACAAACCTACTCAGACAGTAAATTTATTTTATATCCTTTAACAAAAAATCAAGATTAGCTGGTCCAAGACTAAATAAAATGGTGAGGATTGGATATGTACACATTAAATTCTCTATTTCACAAAATCATACTTTCTAGAACTTTAAACCTTTCTGGTTGGATATTGTTATTTAAAAGAACAGTTATTTGTATATGTTTAAAAGTTAAAATTATTTAAAGCAACTTTGTTATAAGACATAGCCATTTCAAATTACTTTTTTTCTTTACTACTCTTTGAGAAAAATAATCCACCTCCAAACTCTCATTTGATATTTAATGTAACTATAGATAGGAGCCACTGAATTTACTAGAACTATACTTTTAACCTGATTTTTTTAATGTTTTCATTACTTCTAACATTATTACCAAAAACTATTCACTTTGTAGGTGTGTTACATTTATTCAAAAGGAGCCCTGTTTTGAACATAAAGTAGCACTTTAATAGTTGGTTTACTTAAAGAAAAAATTAAAAATTCAGGCCAACAGTCACTTTTTTGTTTTTGTTTTTGTTTTGTGGCAACTGGGGTCTCAGGCTACCAATGTAGACTTATTCCAGTCACATAATTCATTGTTAATTCAATCCTGCAATTGATCTGATAATGAGAAATAAACAACTGACTTTCAAAAAATATAATAAGTGCCTCTCATTCTAAGGAGCATGAGTAACAGATATGTTCAGCTGCCAAAATGCACAATACCCAGAAACCCCTACAAAGGATGCCAATCCACCCAATAGGGCAAAGAATGATTTAAAACCTTCCTATACTTCTAATTCCTACATTTAAGGATGATGGGACAGCTTGGGGGAGGAACTCTGATTCCAGACATTAAAATGAAGACATCCCTTTTAACACTTTTCCTGTTTCATTTGGGTTAAGCCTGTGGGTTGTTACTGATTCCTTGAATTGTTTTATCCAGCATGACCTCCTCTCCCCAGTTCCACACCCTCAAACTTCCCAATGCTTCTGCCAGGTTTTTCTCTGCCACCAGTTTAATGAGAAAAATTTAGTGAAAAAGAAGGTAACGGCTTTCAGAGCTACCTTGGAGTAACTTTTCAAGTTTGTTGTGGCTCTTCCAGAACATATTTGGTAACATATGCAGGCAGTATCTGTTGGAAGAAAACTCACTGATTTGAGATAGCTGTCAAATCAATAGAGATGGGACAAATGAAATATGCTTGAAGCCCTTGAAGTATGTCTATGAAGGGGCTTAAATTAATGGACTTTAGCTTACCTAAGCCTTCTCATTTTTCACAGCAAAGTACCAAAATTGTCTCCAAAGGCCTTCTGAGGTTCTTACAAAACAGGGACTACCTGGAACAGATTCTTCTCAAGTCATCAAAGTTTGTGTTTCTAGAGTTTATATTTAGCTGACAATATTGCTGTCACTTTATATAGCTTAAGACTGTTCTTTGGACTAGAGCTCATATGTCTTGGAATGCTTTGACTCATGAATTGTTTCTCCTGATAATGTTACATCACGTAACCACCTCTGTTTAATTGGTTAGTATCTGCTGGAAGAGGCAGGCGACCAGCCTAACCACTGGCCTGCCTGCTGGACTGCCTATGGAAAACCTATAATTATTACATGTGTTTCTGAGTATCCAGTTGCTTCCCAGGATCAAAACAACTTGACTTCATGTAACCTCTATCTATACTTTTTGCCTAATAGAAATAATATTGAGTTTTTCTCACAGTTTATTTACCAGTAATTTGCTGGGATCTTTGCTTTGGAAAGCCAGGCCCAAAATATAAAAATAAAATCAGTCACTTAACAATAAGAGCAAAACCAAACAATAGCAACTATAAATATACACTGAGAGGATTTCAATCAAGCACAATGACTTCATAATTCAAATGAAGGACCTCGATATGGCTTGAGTGAAAGAAAGCTATATGAGTGAATTTATTAATATACATTCACTTTGAATCTCCTCTTCACATGAAATGAGAACCATAATTGCTAAAGTGAATATCAAACATGTGTTTGTCAGCTTGAAAGACACAAGTATGGAAGCCCAATTATAAGACATCTTATCCAATTACTAATAAAAATTATAAACCAGAACACTAACTTCTCAGAGAGAAAAGGTAGGAAGTGTCACTGAATACTTTTCCATGCTTACCTCTATTTTTCACTTTTTAATACTGCCAGAAGAAAAGAGAAAAATGAAAATTGAGAGTTAAAGGTTGTTTCAAAAAATGAAGGCTCACACATCATGACAGTGAACAAAATTATATAAATAAGCTAATCTCTGAGATTCTCCTTTAGCTAAATAAAGCAATCCAGCAATTCCTCTCTTTCATGTAATAAGGTATACATTTCAGGTTCCAATCAAATAAAAGGAGGAAGGGGGAGGGGCAAGAGGAAAGGGAGAGGGAAGGGGCAAGAGGGGGAAAGGGGAGGGGCCAAGGAGAAAGGGGAGGAGAGAAACAACTGTGGCTTTGCAGTTCATTTTCAGTTTGTCTACTTAATGAAAACCTCATTGTACAACACTGAAAACCATTTCCAGCAGGCAAAGTATTTCTGATTCAGCAGAGGTTACACAAGCATCAAAGCAGTTAAATATAGGTGCCAAGCCGCATTGCCAGGAGCTCTTAGTACTGTGAGTTAGTGTTACCTGACAGCTTAGTGAATATAAAATTACTTGTTTCGCCAATTGAAGACAATCAAATTGTCACCTTCCATTGTAATAATGCACAACTAGTGATCAGCAAAGTGCAAACATAATTACCATGAAGAAAACAAAAAATCAAATCTAAATGTCTCTACAAAGTAAACACATCTCTCTGGCTTCGCCCAAAAAGGAGTGCATTTTAATACCGAATGCTATGATGCAATGTTTATGTTATTTAACAATAAGATTTATTAGTCTTACATTAAATTAAAATGAAAAACAACAAGAAAGACCAATTCATAAAAAGTGAATACAAATACCAATTAAGAGCAGTACAACTTTCCAGACAGAATAGAAGGCCTGCAAATTATATCACTGCCATTTGGGCTGATAATGTTAAGTGTATGTCAGCAGCACATCCATTATAAAAACCAAGCTTTCAGAAATTTCTTTCTAGCCTAGAAACCATTCTGAATGTTGAAAATACAGGTAGGGTCCAACCCCAAAAGACTTTGTCTTAATTTTTCCTTCAAAGAAAAAGTTATGCCTTATTTTTGTCTTCTAAAGTAGCCTGTATTTTTGAGGTTGAAAATTCACCTCATGAAATTGATTTAGCATTTTTATCCAAGTTTAGAAAAATAACTGAGCATAGGGTACATGTCCATAGCTATTATTGGGACACTCAGCATCTAGAATTCTCATCCAAATTTGGTGGCTGGATTGGCCCACTATCAAAGTGATTTCAGTAACCCAAACATGGGTTAGTATTAAAGCACTGAAAATTTGACATGCTTCTCCCATACCCTGAAGATTCCTAAGATATAAATATAAATATTGCTCCAAACTGTATTTTAGTAAAGTGATTTTATATCTAACTCAAAATTTAAAGCATCCAGATTTACATTTCTTCCAATATGTCAAAAACTACCCTTCCCATTAGCAAAACACTTATAACATAGGGATTTTCTTCCTTCATCAATAATATCTTCTTTTTTTTTAAAGATTTTATTTATTTTTAGAAAGAGGGGAAGGGAGGGAGAAAGAGAGGGAGAGAAACATCGATGTGCAAGAGGTACCTGTTGCCTCTCACATGCCCCCAACTAGGGACCTGGCCCACAACCCAGGCTTGCGCCTGACTGGGAATTGACCTGGTGATCTTTCAGTTCACAGGCTAGCACTCAATCCACTGAACCACACCAGCCAGGGTAATAATGTATATCATGTAATAATATGTAATATTATTTACATATTATTAATTTGTAATATTATTTACATATTAATAATATGTAAATTAATAATGTAATAATAATTGCTTTTATAAAAGTATATCATACTAACAAGCTAATGCCTGATACTCCATTTTTACCTGATACCTCCGTTCTAAATAATATCACTTATAATCCTCTAACTAAAAAATGGATTAAGTAAGAGAAAGAAAAACTGCAGGAGAGTGGAATTGGAATGAATTAGGGACTGTCAACAACATATAATTCCCTAAGTTTAAACCTTTGCATATAAATTCAGACATTTGCATCTGATAGATCATTCCTTAGAATGATTCTTTCATCCTTTATAAATCTAAAATGGCTAATCAATCTTGTATTGCATTCCTATTCCCCCATTCCTCCCTTTAGTTAGGGGAGGGTTATATTTTAGGATAAAGGTTAGATGAAGACACTAGGTTGACTTTGTGATTAAATCAGAAGCAGAATTAGGATAATAGAAACAGGAAAAAGGCAAAGTCCAATCTCTAGTTGGAAGTCTTATGGCAAGTTGAGATAAATTTGATATCATTAAGCGAAGTCTGGATGTGAGAAATAAGGCTGTTATAGGAAAAGATTTTTTCCCTTACCTTGCCAACTTCCAAATAATATCATAAAGTGTTTTTTTAAGGGATTTTACTTATAAGCTTAACACAATGAAAACCTCCCAGTAGAGGGGATGTGATCAGTGGTTTTATAACTTTAATCATGAATAACTTAATACTTTCCTAAAATTATGTTCCTAAAGAATAGTCATTACAATGTAATAACAGTAAAAATATCAGCAAGGAAAAGAAAAGAAATATGTTGTCAGAGAATGTCTTCCAGACCCAGAAAGATAAATGCTTGTATAGATAGTATCATGAGCTTATAGTAGTAAGTGGAAGAAAAATAGAAAACATAAAAAGATTTTGTTTTATATATAAAAAGAAGCTTATTCTATATGTTCCTTAAGGATAGAGATCATGTTTCTCTTGTTCATTACTGGATCCCCAGTACACAGCACAGTGCATACTACATTATAGACAGTCAATAACATTGGGATGAAAGAGAGGGAAAATCAGAAAGAAGGGATGAGCAAATAGTTTATTTTGTTAAATTAAAATGTATACAAAACCACAGAACTACTACTCACATGTTAATGCTACCTACCGAAACGTTATCCTCTCTGTATTCTTTCTACCAAGCATCTCATTCCTTAACATCTAACTCATATGATTTTTACATCTATATCCACAACGCTGAGCACTCTCTCATTTCCCTGAAATACAACAGTCCTCAAATGACTGCTAGATATCTATACCAAGATGTACTCTGCTATGTCATAGTCAACAAACTTAAAATTAGATTCATCATTATTTTCCTCAACATCCTCCCTCATTCATTCACACCCAGAAGAACATGATTCTCAGAATCATCCAAGTGCAAAACAAGAAAACTATGTCCATCTTTTCTGTTTAATCTTTGATCCTTATTGCTAGCCCATCACTAAGCTCCATCAACTCTCCCTTAATAATGTTTCTTAAGTTCATACCTTCTTACCATATTCATAACCACTTTAGCACAGGACTCTATTATACTTCTTACCTAGACTTTTGCAAGAGACTCTAAACTGGATTCCTTAATTTCAGTATCTCCCCCCTCCAAATCAATCTTACCAACACTCCTTTTATCAGATCAAGATAAGTCAATAGCTCTTTCCTAAAGACAGAAAAAAGTCCAAACTCCTAACTCTGGCATTTGAGGTCCTCCATGCAAATCCAACCAATCTTTCTAAACTTATCTTCTAGTGGTCTACAATTAACCCTTTTATTCTAACTATACTGCTATACTCAAACTTCACTTATTACTGCCTCTCACTCTTTTCTTTGCCTGTCTCTCCATTCTTTCTTCAACTTGCTTTTGTATCTCTAGGAAACCAACTGAGACCATCCCAGGTAACTATAATTCACCAATCATGCCTAGTAAGTGCTCTGAAAATGTATTTTTTTATACCACTCATTCAACAATCAATACATACCATCTTACATATCTTTTTAAAATATGTGTGACATCATTATATTTTTAATAAGTAATTACAAATTTTTTAAGGACAAGAAGAAAATCCTAGACTTTGCTGTGTTTCTACTGTACCTAATACAATATGTTGCACAAAGAAAATACTTGACTAATATTTGGCCAGTTATTTAAATATTATTGAATGAATAGGTAGAAATAAATTTAGGGTATTGTACTTCACCAGAGGATTTCAAGTAAAGCTTCTAGATTCCTGACATAAAGTGGTTTTCTAGGGCTATCTCCTCTTCTACCAGCCCCTGGCCAATTAATTTCACTTCGTAGTTTAAAAGTTCTACATATTCTAATGGATGGAAAGACAAATAAGTGAATGAATATGGATCAATAGATGGATGGATGGATGGATGGATGAATGTTGGAGAGACAGTTGAAAAGATACATAGATAGTATTTACTAGATGCTTAGAAAGTACCAGTCCCAGTGCTGAGCACTGTTGCATGTATTATCTCATTTAGTTCTTAAAATAGCTCTAGGAGTTAAATAATGTCATTATCCCTATTTTGCAGATAAGGAAAAAGGGCACAAAAAATGTCTTTCTGAAAAAAATTAAAACTTGCATAAGGTTGTACACAGTTAATACAGAAGGCAGAATTTAAACTCAGGTGGTCTAACTCCAGGGCAGATTTAAATAAAGGTAACTGATAGTAAATCTAAATTAAATTGATTATTAACTATTTTCAAGTATTATCTGAATTTTCTTTACTAACTTGTACATTTCCTATAGAATTTTTTTTTTAATATTTGTTAGCCTAGATACTCATTTAATCCAAGCTTAGTCAAAAGATTTGTTATCTTTACTTTTTCTTTCCTTTTTACTTCTATGGTTGGAGGATTTTAATTACTGGCTAACAATGAAAGAGAAAGAAAGAGAGAGAGAAGCAGGTAATCTTTAAGCAATTTATTTGACTCTCATTCCAGTTTGACAACAAAATTGGTTACAGAAGTAGTTATAATGACATTGGCATATAGGGCTGTAGTTTTCATACAGAAAATTTTATAACAACTATTTGTTGGTTGTTAACTATCCATGCTTTCCCTATCATGCTTTTTCTGGTTAGCCTAAATGATCAACATTTAATTATATCCCTATACAGACCATTGAGAGATAAGATAAGGATGTCACTGCCCCTTCATTTCAAGGTACAGAGAAGAGATCAAATTTCTACCTTCTAGCTCTAACCAGAGAAGCCAC